CTACCACTTAAAAGTATTTGCCTATTCAGTTTTCTTAATTAAGTCAAAAAGAGTAAATTTCAATCTTCTTTCCTTAGCTTAGATTTTATACTTAATAATGTTTAATGCTTTAAAATTTTGCATTCTATATATATATACATATATATAAAAGATATAGTCTACGTACAAAAATTAAAATAGGCAAATACTTTTAAACGACGGTACAATATGTTTCACCAAACATATAGATGTAGTTACATTTTTTGGACATTGATTCCCGCATTTGAGTAATTCATCCCGTTCCTTGCACGTTGCAGATGTCAAGTTTACACAATGCCGATAAAGAGTGCTAATACCACAATGGCAAGAGATTCGCACCAACTGTTTACATGGTTTACATGGCGCTGGATGACAAAGTTGCGGACACGTGTGCGTACAACCAGACGGTCGTGCGAAATTGCACTCCTTCTCGCATGCCATGCACGGAATACCGCTATTAGACTCGTCCTCGGAAATCTGTAGTTTGTGACAAGTCAACTCGCAAGTATGATTCTTGCATGGTAATAGCTGGCCACAAAGTCTACCACAGGAGCTCGGTTTCGACATGTGACACGGCCAAGGACATGTCTCGTGACCACCGAGACAAGTAACAGGCACAGAAACCTCGCACGGTGGACACGGCAAAGTCTTCAGTTCCATAACATCCTTTGATTTTTCCCAGGGTCCAATAGGCTGCGCCTTTACTCCGTTCGCTTTAACCTTCACCCAGACTTTGGTGTGACAAGTGGCTGGACAAGAGTGACCGCATCTCTTGTGCATCAGTCCGCAGATTTTTTTACACGGCGGACATGGGCCTTGATGACATTTGTGTGTTTCTCTCTTGCTGTGATGGCAGATAGGTGGGATCTTACAGGATTTGTTGCAAGGTGGTGGCTTGATTCTCTTTCTGGTACCACATGGCACTGTTATCTTACTGCTACCACATCGACACTGTATAGTGTCCGTTCTGGTACATGGATAGCAAGGACCACTGTGGCAAGGTGCAGCGCATTTGTGTTTACGGCAGTTGAGCGTATTCTCGCACGTCTTTTCACAATGATTGGACGTGTTCTTCGATATGCAATCGCAGCATTTTTTGTTGCACAAATGTCTACCGCATAAGCGCATTTGCATGCATTTCTTGTTGCAGTGGAATTGTTTCGCGCAAGCGATCTCTTTCGTGTAACTACCACATTTACACGTTTTTGTTACGACTTCCAAGCACTGACCACAGCGATCGGTGTGGCATCTCATGTTGCAGAAGTGTGATCCGCAATCCAACAGCTTGCCACACGTATCCAAGCACGTTGGCACTTGCTGCCACCTGCAAGAAATTTCGTATCGTTTTTTCCCACAAGGACAATACCTGTTCTTTTCCAGGGGGCAGTTGCCACAATCGCCGGGTTGATGACAAGTGCTTTCACAGCTATGTACATTGCAAGAAAATTTTCTATTGCAAGGTTTCTCGCAAATCCATGTACCCTCATAGCATTTCCCTACTTTCTCGTTACTTTTACAACAGCATTTCAGTACTACTGTTTCTACACAAGGAGGACATTCTCCAGTATGACACACATTATTACAAGTGTGTAGACAAAATTCATATTTTTTATTGCATACAGTTCCACAGCTCCAGTTTTTAGCATTGCAACGTCGTGATTGCGCTGGTAACTTGCCACAGTAACATTTGACTGATACCATCTTGGCGCAGGGTGGACACGGACCGGGATGACAAAGCAACACGCACTTGTGACCGCACTCTGGTTGCAAAAGTTTGCCGCAGGGTTCGCCGCAAGAATGCGGAATAATCCATGGTTGATATTGAGGATCTACTGATTTTTTACAGAAGCATTTATACGATCTTGGAATCTGATCCTGGTCATATTCCATACGGCATTTTGGACTGTAATATGTATTTTTATTGATATATTAAATAAAGGTTTCAATGTACTTTTCATAGAATTCTATTTTGAAATTATGTTAAGTACATACCAAGCCCAGATCGGTGTGATTCCTTTAGCCCGTTTGCAGCTCAAACTGTCATTGATCCAGTGTAGAATGCAGGACATGTGTAGAAATGCGTAGCACTTGTCGCAGTTCCATATCTGCATAGAAAAAATAGAGAAGTGATAAACTGCTTCCATCAGTTTTGTTTAGTACTATTAAAATCATATATATTTTAGTCATAACTAATAAAACATAAGTAATAAAATCAATCAAATATGATATACATATAGCAGCTTTGATTGCATTAATCAAACTTAAAAATTTTCATTTCTATTTAGATAATAATATTTATATTAAATCAAAGAAAACTTAGCATATATATATATATAAAATATCTAGCATTTAAAACTATATTTAACATGCAATAAAGATGTTAGCCTGATAATAAACATGTTGAGATAATATATTATTTAAACATACTGGATCTGTCTTCTTGACAGTGGATATACATATCAAACAAACAGCACTGCTGGTTTGAAAGGAATTCATCAAATACGACATCACTTTTTCGGCATCTGTGTTCTGTCCTTGATACGCTGATAATACTTTGCCCACCATATTTTGGACATCTTCGTCGTTAGTTTCATCCTCATCTTCGCTAGATAAATTCAACAATGCATTGGCTTCCAAGTGCTTCTCGATAGACAGTTTATTCTGTGCTTGAGCTCTCTTAAATTTTTGCATCTTGAAACTCTGAAATTTCATAAATTGATGACAAACTGAAAAATTATTTGTAAAGATAATATAACACTAATTATTAATCCAAAAAAATAATCCAACACTGTAACTTGCATACAATGCTAATCCAAATTGTAATAATTTAATTTAAAAAACAAATAATATAATAAACAATTCTAATATGTATTCATATACATATATATCATGTATATATTATTGTATAACATATTCTGTTGCAATTATCTAAACACAAAAGCGCTTATTTTACAAAATAATATATGATTTTTACAAAATATTGTAAAAAGTATATAATTGTATATTATATTTAAATAACAATTTAAATAATGTTTTATGACAAAGTTATTATCGAATCTGACATTTCTCTGGAATAGGTAGTATTTAACCGGCAAGCTACGATTTCGGTCAACAGTAGAGACCGATTAAATGATGAGCAAATTGACTTTGACCTACAATTACCAGTTGTTCTCTGTTTTTGTCAATATCAATTAATCATAATTGATCACCAACTATCAAATTATCTCCGAGATCTCTGTACTGATCTTTACAACCGTATGTACAGTTTTACTACACGTATATACGTGTATACACGGCGTCACGGCCATCAGAATCGTCAGAAATGCCTTTACACTCACAATCAGAGCCAGCTGTTTCCGGATGGAGTGCATCGCGTCTAGATATATTCGTGCTCCATGGCTGTTAATTTAAAAAGAAAATAAGTCTTATTTTAACTTTTACTTAAGATTTTAATTTTTTAGAAAATTTAATTTTCGTGATTTGAGTATTTACTACTATATTCGATTTTAAAATTCTAGGAATTCTATAATTTTGCAAATAATAACCATGTGCGAATATTATAATTTTATAATACAACACATCCGCACAATGAAATTAAAAAAAATAATATACTGGGGATTTTATAAATAATGTAAATTACAACAATTGTTTTGTGCAAAATATTGTAATATAATTTTATAACATCTACAATAAAATTATTGACATTCTATATAAAATCTTAAGGCACTATTTTTACGTGCTTACAAATCACTTGCTTTACACATGCGTTTGCACAATTTGTAAATAACAAATCGCTGAAAGTTATTGCGAATGTGCGTGTAACGTTAATCTCAGATGTGTCAGACTTACATTTACATTACAACTTTGTTAGCAATGAGATCGTTTTAATGTTAAAAGCTACACAAATATGCAAGAATGTGTTTATAATGTTATTAATAATGTTATTAATAACACTATAATTACATTGATAATATTATACACATATAGCTGCAATGTACGAAGTAAATTTGTGCGCTTAACATAATTAGAATTTTGCAGCGAGTGAGGTACTTAATATTAAGTCTAGTCTAATTGTATATACTGAATAGAAGATATAAGTATATATTATAATAAATCGCATACTGAACGAAATGTTGCATTGAAACCTGCTTAAAGATGTCGTTAAGTATGGCTACATCAATATATAATAATATATTATGTAGTAAATATATTAAACACTCAGAAAAATGTATATACTGTAATTATATGTACGTAATTATTTAAAAAAAGTGCCTAAATCGAAATAAAAATCTACTTGCGTTTGCATTTGTTCTCTTTATCCACAGATATTGAGCTATATTACACTTGATCTTATGTTTTATAAAAGTATCAGCATTGTAAAAAGCAATATAAAATATCTACTATTTTTATATATATAATATATATATACATATAAAATATATAAAATGCTGTTTTTTAATTTATGTAACAATTAATTATTCTATTTTTATGGACGGATACAAAGTAGCCACTTGTAAGTATTATTATTAATATATATGCATAATTTATAAAAATCTAATATTTTACAGTAGATTATGATTTAAAATCGTTTAGTTATTAACTTAATGATCTTATATGCAAATGGCATTGTCGTATGGTTATACTATCAAGATATAGATGTGACTAATAACATTTGATTTGCGAACACATTTATGTATAAATATCTCGTTGTTATTAAAGAATGTACTTTAGCAATTTAATAAAAGAGAGTACATTTTAATATAATTAATAATAAACTAATTTATGTATCATTTATGATAAATATGATTAAAAATATTAAGTAATTTTATATTAATTTACAATTGTCTCAATTATTGTCGTAAGTGTAAACACGTTTATTTTTTTAAATTGTAAAAACTTTTAAATTTTAATTTAATTTGACATTTTTTTAAGAACAAATGTGTCATCTTTTAAAAACAATTAATGCATTTGAAAATCTAGGTATAAAAAAATAAATATAAAAAGATTGTATCGATTTTTTTTTTGTATAACGGTAACTTAAGTATTAAACAGCTGTTTGTGGTACTCCCTGTACTAAAAGTGTTTTGCTTTTAGCTTTTGGCAGTGCAGATTGACTCAGTGTCTTTACCATTTTAAGCTGACCATTAGGTGAGCTAGTGACGAAACCTTCTGATCTCATATCTTTTAATGAGACATTAGAATTGCTACGTAATGAGGGTGTAGAACTGAATTTTCTATTATGCGCTAAACGTTCCTGCAGTCTCGCTTCATTTTGACGCGGTATTCGGGCCTTTACTGGTACGTCACGATATTCGTATATGTTTTCTTTAGATGAACGTGTTATATTCTCGATTCCCTCGGAGTGCTCATCGTCTCGTACCATCAGGATGTCTCCGCTATAGTAGTGATCAGATTGTCTGTGGAAAAAATAATATGCAAAAGAATACAGTACATTGTACACAGAAAAAAATGTATATCTAATTGTAAGTAAAAATTAAATTAACATTTTATTATTAGTACAAACTATGCCCATTTTTCTTGTGAATAATATAAAAATACATACGCATACGTGCAACTAAATCTAAGTAAAAATTAAGTTAATAATTTAATCACTTATTTTATTATTTAGTCTGAACTCCTGCCTATTTTTCTTGTAAATTATATAATAATATATACAAATATGTGCAACTAATAAAGCAATATGTGATAGATATATTGTATAAAATTATCTCTAAAATATCTTTTATAAGTACCTGCACGTATCCTAGCAGCCTTCGTTTTGCTAATTATAAGCAGGAATAGAGTTAATTAGCAATTTATATTTAGAAATAGTTATGTAAAATGTAAGATAAAGAAACCATATCCCTGTGCAAGGACTGTGTTTATAAACCAGAACCAGTTTTTGCATGCGCTACCGTTCGGTCTAGCAGCCACCGAATAAAGCTGTAGTCACATGGATTTGGTTTTGTTTACCTTTTCTTACCTTTTGGCGTTACGCCAAAGCATACAGCACACCACGGAAAGTACAAGTAGCAGCAGACATGCCGTCGACATCGACCAAAATGCAATTTGCAATGGCTGTTTAGGTTCCCACCAATACTGTAATAAAAATTATAAGTATAATTGATATAATTCGGTAACAATTAATAATACATGAAGCATGTATATTATATTACAATGTCTTACTTCTGTAACGGGAGGATAGGTAGGGACAAGGTAACCAATAACAGTCGGCAAATACATGGACCAGAATGCGCTCTCTGTTTGACGATAGTTTATTTGAATGGAGCTATTGAATGTCGTATTGATATTGAGATATCGCAATTGTCCATAACGTGCAAGATCAAAATGCAAACCCAAGATTTGCGAAGGCGTTGGGTTTCTAGGATGAAATTTTTAATAATTATTGCATTGTTTCATTTCATCATACAAATAAATAAAGCACCATTAAATACATACCCATATTTTGCAAAATTAGAATACGCCATCATGAAAAAGTGACTCATATTACGATCACTATCAGTCCACATTTCTCGATTTAATCTCCATTTTTGTGGGAAAAATTCTGTGTTAATAATATCTTGTTAGTAGATATGCAATAAATTAAAAATATATGTATCTCTTTATATATAATACATTTATATGACAAAAGAACATACCAACGTCCATAAATGGTGCTCCTGTCAGCCACAAAAGCTCGGTATCATGAGGTACCCTAGCCCATTGTGGCGAATAAATTGATTCTATCGAAGTATTTAAGACATAGAGATATGTCGGTACATGTTTTTCCACCAATAATTTTGCTATTTTGTCGTATGGTGCAACATAATGAAAGTCTGATAAGAGCTGAAAATATTAATAATAATTAAAGTCAATAATTCTAGTTTAATAAAGTTTAGTTCGATATTTTCACACTATTTACATTTATATATTGATCACGTATGTGCGTAACGTTCATTGGATCCGGCCAATATGTATACATATATTTTATCGCTTCATAAATGCCTTGTGGATTTAGGGTATAGTTATACCGAAGAACTAATTCCCAAATCTTTTGATCAAACATTTCAGGAGTTATTATGAATTGATTTCTTGCTAACGTAGCATTATTTTCTGTAAAATAAATATTATGAAAGGTAATATATGATGTGCCATTGTAATTAAATAATATAAACAGTAAACTTAGTAATAGCAATAGAATATTCAAAGTAAAACTATGGCTGTTTTCCTTTTAAAAGACATAGTCGACACAAATATCTTTTTATCTTCCTTGATATAACTAACAAAGATAAAGCAATTTGTGTTGATTGTATTTGTTAAAAGAGAAAACTAATCCAAAATCTAGTTAAATAAAAATAAATAAGACAATAGATGACATACTTATAATAAATGCTGCTTCTTGAGTTGTAACACCAGCCATGTAAGCCAAATCTTTCCTATATTTGTGAGTTTTAATACTTTCTTCTGGTGTTTCTGTAAAAAAGCGCCAGTCGGATGCTCTCCAGTCTTCGTACCAATCATCTCGAGGTATCGTAAAATTGACATCCAGTACAGGTGCCCACGGAAACATTCCGACATGTGGTTTTAATTCAGAATTACCTAATTCAAGGAAACTACGTCCATCTTTTAAGCATTGTACTAATTTCCAACTACTCTCTATACTACAACCGAGCATTTCTGCATATACTCGAGATGTATTTTGTGCTCGGTATTTGTCTACTATTACCGCCCAATCAGCTAAGGCTGAACCCGATTGCGCTATCACTTTTGATACCATCTGTCGAGTTCTACAATAGAATAAAATAAGTTTAATATACAATTGATTTGTGAAATATATATATTTAAATGTTAAACCCAATTACTTTGGTGCAACCATTAATAATCCCGCACTTGCTGCTCCAGCACCTGGTCCAAACAGTGTTATAGAGTCAGGATCTCCATTAAAGGTGACTATATTATCATAGACCCATCGCAAAGCCATAGCTTGATCAAGAATTCCATAATTTCCAGGGCTATTCTCATCTCCAGTACTTAGAAAACCTAAAAGTATGATGGGAAAGATTAATTTTGTCTTCATATTAATGTGTAATACTTCTATTTTTTCTATATGTATACTTTGCATATGGAAAGCAATGTACTTACCAAGAGCTCCAAGGCGATAATTAATTGATACCACTACGACATTGTAAAAGGCAGCTAGTATATGAGCTGGAAATAAATTACTCGCCCCATGACTAAATTCGCCACCATGTATGTAAAACATCACTGGATATCTATTTGCTAATCCATAGCCAATCTACATATACAAGACATAATCTTATTATTTAACAGATTCATTAATTTTATTTCTTTTGAATATGTAATACTTACAGAAGGTGTAAATATGTTTAGGTACAAGCAGTCTTCGTCAACGTCTCGTATACCTTTTGTTGCACCAGTATATTCGCTAGGCTGAGGACAAGCTGGTCCCCAATCAACAGCTTGTAAAAGTTGCCATCCTCTAAACAGAAAAATCAATTATTACTGTAAAAAACAATGTTGTAAAGTATTAAAAACAGTAAACAATAGTTGGTAAAAGATTTTATATTAACCTGTGAGGTCTAGGAGGTTTAAAACGACCATCTTTAATAGGTGGCATGGCATAAGGAACACCCAAAAATACATTAACACTTTTTGTGACTCTTTCGACTGCTACATTCCAAGGTCTATGCCTCGCAAATGGATCATCATACAATTGGACTTTAAATCCTTGAACTTGGCCATAATTTGTATTCACAAGTATGTCTCTGTCTTTTATATAAAGTTTAGAATCTGCTCTTTCTCTTCCTTGAAGATCTTCACGCCAACCAGCTAATATTCCTGGCAATGGAAGCCTTTCTGTGGTCTGTTTTAATATAATATGGTTTATTAAATCTATTTTCACACATTCAAATCTTATATATATTTTAAAACATAGCTAATAAATATATTTTTTCTAAGGAGTTACTAAATTTTTATTTTTAAAAAATTCTTATTTTTTAACTTTATAGTTTAATTTAGAGTTAGAAATACAAAATACAAATAATTAACAAATCTTAATTAATAACACAATAATTGATAAGTATAATGTTTATTCTTGTAGTTAACAAACTATACTGTAATTTAAATGCAACAAAAACATTATTTATAATAAAATATTAATATCAAATTAATATAAAATATAAAGTAATAACTTTAATCAAGTGTCTTCAAGATTTACGTAATTTGTGCTTAATCGTTATAACGTGAATTAAATATATTAATCGAAAGCAAAATGCGTCATTTAAATTGCGTCTTAAAATTGTCATATGTTTATATGGTTTCACCAGCAGGAACTTTCTGACTTACGCCATAAATAAATCGATCTTCGGGTGCCCTCGTTGGTCCTCTGTAACCGGGCTCCAGGTAGCTAGGTTGATATCCGTACCCATACCGTCTACCGTTGTAGACGAAGGTCTTGTCTTGCGGCACGTACACGCCGTCGCGATTGTAATAGCGGCTGCCAGGCGAAATGTCTTGAGCGAGCGTGACGATGCCCGTCAGCAGCAGGTATAAACAACAGTGGATGACGCCGTACGCGCGTCCTCCACGCGCGTTGGCCATGTTCCGCGCGTGCGACAGCACGCGAAGAGTTGCTCACGCGGTCGCGCAGGTGTGGCCTGAATGGGCCTGAAAGCCGCGCGCGGTACGTCACGTCGGAACGGCACGCCGATTCGCTCGATTCACTTTCCTCGCCAACTTCGCGGCAAACGAGAAAGAGACGAAAGCGAAAGTTTCTCCTTCACACAATGAACTTATCTGCTTATCAATGAACGAGGTGTATGATCGATAAGCGTCCCTACCACCCCGATTACGTATACCGACGAATTGGGACGCGTTGATGGATCCTCCCCTGAAGTTAGGCGTGTGTTTGAATTGCGGCGTTGTTAGAATTCTCGCGAGATCGAAGCACTCGCGTTCTCAGGTCTCGGCGCGTCGTTCCGTCGTTACGAAATGCTTCTTCGTTTACCTTCTTCTCCGAGAGCGTTTTCAGCACCAAGTACCAACCAGCCAACACCCTATCACGGACCCCCCTGTCACGATCACGCCGCGGTGACTCGCGTGGCACTTCAGGTGGCTTCGCCGCACTCGCCGTACGCGCGCTGCCGCGGTGCCCTTCTCCCCGTTCACCGTCTCTTCCACCAGTCGATAAATGTGAAATGTCACGATTGGTGCCACGGCAAGCCCAAAGGTGGGGGTGGGATTGATAAACGCGTTTGAAAGCGAAAGGTAACGCGCGCTAGTACTAGATAACTATAGAAATTAAAACGCGATATCGCTTCGTCATCAAGATTTTCCGTCATTGAAGTTACGTGTCGGCTTCCGTGATGTAGCATTACATGCGTAGTAAATACAAGTACGTATAATAAGCGTTTAGCGCAATAAACGCATTTGGATAAATATAGCGCGATATACTTTTCTTATTGAAAAATAAAATGGTTTTTGTTTTTTCGTGACTTTATTGAATATTATTTTATTTCGGTGGGGTACTTCTTTTTCCTAAATTTTAATTAAAAGTTAAAGTGGCACACAAATTAACTGAAATCTACGATTTCATTACTTTATTTTACTACATCTTTTAAATTCCTTTTCATATCTCTGATTGCAATTCAAAAACTGTTCAAGTAAAATTTTGTCGTCTAGTCTCCAATAAAAAAACGCCGCCGTAGGTATAATAAATTATTGTCAGAGATTAAAAAAAAACATCTCGTGTTTATCACGCTAGGCTTAATACGTTTTGATTACCACTATACAATTAAGTAATTTTCTCCCCGACGTTAATTTTATATTAACATGTTAACATGTCACTTATGTCCATTTCAAATCTAGAGTAATTAACTTTAATCTCGATTTAATTTACTCCTATTCTGTTTTAATTTTTACAAGCCAATATTCACAATCAGTTTTTATTTTAAAACCGTCTTAAGTAATAGATCTTAAAATACGGCTATGGCTGACTAGCTCATATGACATTTTAAGAATATATACTTATTAAGATACTCTTAAATATAAGAACTGACTGTGAATTTTAATTACCAGCCCAAGAACTAGAAAAAGATAAAAAGTAAAGTAAATTAAACGAAGATATGTATAAAATTAAGCTTATATTGGTAAAATCAGGCATTAATTATATTTTCAAAAAATCGAATCAGCGAATAACTGGCGTTCATCTATAAATCGCCAGTTATGTGTTAATTCACATTTACAAGTCAACGTATTAAATTACGAACGTGGGACGAAAATTGACCGCGCGCAACATTTAACGTTAAAAGTGCCAGGATATACAACCGTAATTGAAGGCATAATTTTACAGAAAACGAGACTTACGTACAACGTCTGTACTTTCTTTCTTAAATGAACGGAGATCGTAGCTTCTCTCTCTTTCTCCAGAAGTAGTCGCCGCTACGGAGACCAGATGCGTCGACACTTCGATTGACTCATTCGCGAATCACACTTTCCCGTTATCTCGTCGTGAGAGATCGTGATTAGAATCTACCACGCGCTCGGAGCCGAAGATTCGACACGAAAAATGTAACGCGAAAGTCGCTGAGCGCTGGCTCGTGGACACTGCAGTTCGCCGACTGCGACAGATAGACGAAGAGTAATGGCTAGACCTCAGTGAGCTGTAATAACGCCGTCGCGTGCAACGTCGCGGCGATGGCTCGGCAATGGGCCGCCCACGCGCCCAACTGTTGCGAAATGTGCGATCGAGCGGATGTGTATGATCGGGCAAAAACAGGGGTGCCGGCGAAGGGGTAGAGTGGATAGCGATTACTTATTGGGTAAAATTACCTTTTTGGAGCGTTTATACGCAAATCCTTTGAAATTCGATTAATTCAAAAAATGAATGTCATAATTGATTGATATAGATAGATTTAAGGCATATCCCTTTAAGAACAACTTACAGAGAAACGTGAGAGAGAGAGAGGGAGAAGAAGCGCTTGAGAATTACATATATTTCTATAGCATTACGTTAAATTATATTTAATATCTTTATATTACATATATTGTGTAATATATTATATTAATATGATATATTATCTACATATATAATAATTTCATAATTATTACTTAAATAAATTATATATAAATTTCTTATAAAATAAAAACACCATTGTTTACATATCATTTTCTTCACCGTGAATCAGATTAAATAGTACGATAACTATATCGATAAATGTATACTTAAGATTTCAAGATATTTTATTTGTTTCACAAGAATTATACACTTCTTCGTACTAGACTTCATGAACAATTTCGATTATAAACGTGATAGAAATGCATTTGCCATATTTATGGAAAATATTTTACTGTTCCTGCTTGTTTTTTCTATATAGAGAAAGTAGCGGAAATGAATAGAAATTATAGAGGAACAAATGACCTAGCTTAATCCCCCATCCTTCCCTTTTGCACCGCATATTTTAATCTACACGCCCTTGTAAAAGAATTCCATCGCGTGAACGGATGTGTTCCGCAATGAATGATTGGCTCGTGGCAGCTCTGCATTTTTATTATTATAATAATAGTTTTACACACACATATGCTACTAGATTACATAATCAAAGTTCCAAATGATGCACGCATTTACATACGCTGCATATTTTGGTTCTGAATATATAACTATTGCGGGATATTAAGAATACCAGAAATAACAAGAAGATACTCCTTTTATTACTTTTGCTCACCTTTGTAAACAAGATTCTTTATCTATTCACTCTCGCAGTATTTTGACAAAGAATGGTTCACGTTTTTAGACAAAAGATTCTAGTCCTAATGTTTCGTAGATTCATCTATTGTTATATTCTAAAATATACTTACAATAATAATTACTCTTCGAATTTGTTATTTAGACACAATTTTTTTGTATCTATACTTGTATCTGTAAATAAAATAGTATTTTAATTAATACAGTTGAATCTTTAGGAATCCTTGGAAATTCTCTATTTCTACGAGCATCTTCATTATTATCTTCATAAAGTTAACACTGTAGACTTCACTTTATTTTCGTTAAAAGGAAAGAACGTTCCTAGTAACGCCGTAAATTCCACAACTCTTCACGTTGATCAACAGCGATGGATGCGCGTGATTGGAATAAATTTATTTGCCATAAAGTTCATTATAGCGTTCGCCGATGTCGCATCTTTTGCTCAGACTCAATTCGCAAAACTGTCAAGCACTTTTATAAAATTGCTAATTCGTTTTACTTTAAAATATAGAATGAAGTTGCTTTTGCAACGTTTCTGAATGAATCATACATACCGCAACCGCGCGTCTTTATGACTCATGATTTTATCAGCTAAATTAAGTATTAATCGTTTGCCAGTGGAATGACTTGTGTCATGAGCGAAATGTAAGAAAGTGCGAACTGAGAGTGTTATTATAAATGTTGTAAGATTATTAATTATATATCGTATTATTAAAGTGCAAAAAATTTAGGTCGATTCTTTCAATCAGGAAATAAAGTTATATGATAAAAAACCTAATAAAGTAACATAATAGAATTTATTTTCGCAAAGGGTTAAGCATTCAATTTAGCAAAAGATTTAATAATGGAGAAACTTTCAACGCGAAAAATTCATAAATTTTACGAAAGATAGGTATTCATGAAAAAGTATTTCACAAAGTACTGCATCTATTTCTGTAATGTTCTATAATAATTAATGGAAATAGCAATAAGTTAAGAACAAAGTAGAATATAAATAATTCAAAAGATCGAAGATTGAATTGAGTGCACTGAGTTTATGCGTTCTAATTTATAATGAATATTCCATCAGAAGGAAAGTAGAAATGTGTCAAAGGACCTAAATCTCAATTATTATATCTATATAATATAATAAATCGTAAAAACAAAACTTGCAAAAATTATGCAGAGTTTATACATATTACATTAATATTATTATATTATAAATACTAACTTATTCTACTAACACAGTTTAAATCAAATTAACATAATCAAGATACTTAATAAAATATTCATCATTTTATTTCTGTGAATCTTTTCTTTTATTATGTTTAACAATTAAAATAGCATACACATGACCGATATAAAATATTTAATTCTCCAGGAAAATATTTCAAGCATGCGTATCCAATTGATTATCATGATAAAATTTTTCTATCAGGGTTTAAAATTCAATAATAAGATAAATCGTAAAAATATCGATATTTAAAACCGCATATTACGAGGAAAGCGTTTAAAAGGTAGTAACAATACAAAGCGAATGCCCTTTCGCTCGTTCTACTCCCCCGCGCATAAGTTCTTCAATTTACAGTAATTGGTGAATTTATTACCGTTCCAGGCTCTTCGCTTCTACGTCAGTACAGTACCGAGGAAGAGTTAAATAGCTTTAATTACGGCGGCTTATCCTCTTTTAGAGCTGTCAAGCTGGACGAAGTAGTTTCATTGAAGATAAAATTTGTCAAGCACCAAAGTTAAAATAAGATAATAATAATTAGGCAAACTGTTTTACGGAAATTGCAAGAGTGACATCTAAAAGATTTTAAAAAAAATTAATGTCATATACTTACATAAAAGATAGTCGTCAAAAATAAAATTGAAAGAT